GTTCTTCTGTGCTTCATCCTGTACGCCCTGACAGGCATCTTCGGCTACTTTGACTTTGGCAGTCGCGCAACCGTCTCCGCTCTGCTGCTGTACGACCCAGTCAAGGAGCCGGCGGTGATGGTGGGATACGTTGGCGTGCTGGTGAAGCTGTGCGCCTCCTATCCGCTTCTCATCATGATCACCCGAAACTCCCTCTACCACAGTTTTGGGTGGAACCCCGACACGCTGCCGTTTTGGAAACACTGTATCTTCGTCATCAGCCTCGCTGTTGCTTCGCTGCTTTGCGGCCTGTTCATCCCAAAGATCAACACGGTGTTTGGTCTCATTGGTGCGTTCTGTGGCGGTATATTGGCCTTTATTCTTCCCTCTCTCCTGATGATGTACGGCGGTAACTGGTCGCTGCGGTCGGTTGGATGGATGCACTACACCTTCACGTACGTGATGCTTCTCGCCGGTGTTGCGATGATGGTGTTCGGCACGGGCGCCACCATCTACAGCGCTGTGAAGGGCGACTGAGCGCCGCGGAGGCCATCGCCCGGGACGCCCCTCTGTGCCCGCCAGCGAATGTACGGTGCGCCTCCGCAGCAGCCTGCGGCGGTGGTGGGTTCACTTGGCGCAGCCTGCGGCCAAGCGCGACTCTTCATGGACAGGCATATGTTTTCCATCTCTGAAGCTTTGTGGTGCAGTGTATCCCATACCTCCTCTCTCTTTTTTTGTCTTTGTTTTTGGTATGTTTTGTGTGGTTCTGCGCTGCTTGGAACGCGTGCGTGTGTGATGGCGCGGATTGACGATGCGGTCGGAACCCGAGGGTGGCGACGGGTGTGCTGGGCGGCACTGCGTGTGGGTGGGCATCCTTCTTGCTTCGCTACGGCAACGGAACGGGAGGCAGCAGGCGCCTCTGCAGAACGTGCCGCCGACCCGTCGCCGTCCTTCTGGCGCTGCCGGTGCGGCTGTCACTGGGCTCGGCGGCGGAATGCGGGCATCGCGCGCGAGCGGAGGGCACACGTGAATGCGGATGCCCCCGCCGGTCACTCGACAACTTCCGCTCAAAAGCAGCTGCTACTTTTTCTATATTTTGTTGAAGCCTAATGTGTGAAATGTAGAAAGCCGTGGCTGAGGATAGAGGCCTTTTTGGTAGCACAATTAATTTTCATGTGTCTACGAGGCTTTGTGTCTGTGTGTTAATTAACCATTTTCTTTTACATGCATTTGTTGTAATTTTTATGATAGCCCTCACCGTAATGATGCTGAGCGTGTGTTGGTGTAGGAGTCGGAGACCGTTGTTTTTTATCTTCCGCGCTGTTTGTCGCGCGGCTGTGCTGGTGTTGACCTCCTTCCATCCTCCTTTCCCTTCTTGCGGGACGGCACCCCTCGCTAGCCGCAGACACACAGGCAGGCAGGCAGGCAGGCAGACGCCACGAGCGCCACAGCGGACGTTGCACTACGATGCTCCACGGCGACACAGAAGGCTGCGGCGCCTGTTCGGAGTCTGGAGTCGGCGCGGCGGCGCGAGCGTGC